CGAACGGGGGCCCTGTGGGGAGGCTGATGGAGGTGAATGAGGCCTCTGGTGGGGGGGGAACTAATGGGTGTGAATGGAGGCCCTGGGGGAGACTGATGGAGGTGGGTGGGGGTCCCCAGGGGGAGATTTCTGGGAGTGGGTGGGGGGTCCACGGTGGGAGCTGCTGGGGGTGAATGGGAGTGCTGGGGTTGAACTGCTGGGGGTGAATGGGCGCCCTGGGTTCTGGAGGTTGGGGAGCGATGGCTGCAGGGATCTGGGGTTGCTTGGCCCAGGGAAGGCTTAAGTGGGGACTGTGGCTTCAGTGGCCTCCAGGGACCCCAAGTGACGTCTGCGGGTTCATCTCTCAGGGTCTGACTCCGAGTGACCCTGGCAGCCCATGGCCCACAGCGCGAAGCAGCCGCCTGCAGTGATGCTGTAAGTGCCCCCGCTGAGCCCCACTGCTGGCCTCGGGGCTCTCCCCATAGGGCCTGGTGTAAAATAACACACCTGGTGGGATTCAGATCAGTGGGATTCCCCGTTCATTTTGGGTGCACAGCACCACGTTCTGCCTGCCACCTGCCCCAAGGACATCTCAGCTGTGCAGGGTGCAGTGCTCAAGGGGCTGAGGTATGAGCAGGACCCTGCCTGGAACACGACTTTCCAAAGCATCCTCCGGCACGACAGGAATGCGGGGGAGGCTGAGCCTGGCAGCTCTCAGCACATTCCATGGTGTAACTGTAGGTTCGTTAGGGCTGATAACAAAGAGCTGAGGCCTCCCAGAGACCCAGGAGCAGATTTCCCAGGAAACACAATGTTCACACGCCATCCCATAAGCGTTGGTGGGAGCAGTCAGCCCAGCACCAAGCAGAAAGGGCTCCACCAAAGCAGAGGTTAATTGTACCTTATGTAGGATCACTCGATAGGTTGGGGGCTCTGTGCAGAGCTGGATTCACACCAAGTGTGTGGTGTGACTGATGAATGCTACGAACCACAGGGCCAGCCCGGATCCATCCAGCTTTTAACGTGCATCCGAATTTCCTCTTCCTTGTGGGTTTTGTGCTGACCCTGTGCCATCTATCTTGTGACTTTGATGAAAGTGAAAACTAATGATGTTTGCATGCGAAATTGATGCCCTTCATGGCTCCCTCCCTTCCAGCTGTGCTGTGGTTGGTGTGTAATTGTGGGATACAGCCAGCCTGGGGTCGCCGTGTCTGGGCAATGTGTCCTGTCTTGCTGTGGGATCAAAGGGACAGTGGTGCCACAAGAAGGAGCTGGGGGAGATGCTGTGATGTGGGCAGAGCTGCTCACTGCAGTCCTGAGGGCTGCTGGATTGTGTGGTGATGGAGGTGGAGCTGGGGTTTGGGCGCTGGTTGGGTCGGAGATGCTGCAGTGGTCCCACAGCCCTTCCTGATGGTCGTGCTCTGCCTGCAGGCACGCAACAGGCAAGGCTCAGCATGGCAACTTCCTGGTGGCTGTCAAACAGGAGAAGGGAGAGGTGGCTCGTGCCAGCGGCGAGAAGCCGCACGGTGAGGAGGAGGTGAGCAGCAGCACCTGAGATCCCTTCCTGCACAAATCATCCTGCTCCATCCCAGGGCTGGGGCTGTCCCTCAGCTCTCCCAGGCTGAGCTGTGCTGCAGGCTTGGGCAAACCCATGGCCAGAACTGCAGCTTGGAGCACAACTTACCTGCGCTCCCATCAACGCCCACTTGTAATTTTATTGTCCTTTCACATCCTTGGGACACCAGCCAGTGAAGAAGAGGGGTTGGCCTAAGGGCAAGAAAAGGAAGAAGATCCTTCCCAACGGCCCCAAGGCCCCAGTGACAGGCTATGTGAGATTCCTGAATGAGCGGCGTGAGCAGATCCGCACACAGCACCCCGACCTGCCCTTCCCAGAGATCACCAAGATGCTGGGGGCTGAGTGGAGCAAGCTGCAGCTCTCAGAGAAGCAGGTACCAGGAGTTCTCTCAGCTGGGGCACGCTCGTCCCTTGTCCCTGCACCTTCCAGCTCCTTCTGGGAGCTTCACCCTTCTGCTGGGAATGGCTGTGCCTCACATCTCAGTGTGTTTGGAAGCTGAGATCTTTGCCTACGTGGGGTCTGGGCACCAAAATGTTTGCTGGGAGCCTGTCCCAGTGCTGCTGGGCCTCGAGGTGTGGGATGGCATCACCCTGGGGAGCTGCTGCTGGGCTGGGCTGAGCCAGGCTGGGTGTTGCTGTGTCCGTAGCGCTATCTGGACGAAGCAGAGCGGGAGAAGCAGCAGTACATGAAGGAGCTGCGGGAATACCAGCAGTCGGAAGCCTACAAGATGTGCACAGAGAAAATCCAGGAGAAGAAGATCAAAAAAGGTGTGCTGCCTTGCTGCCTTTCGCTTGGAATGCAGCCTGGTAGTTGCTAGGAGGGAAGGGGAGTCCTGGGGGAGTTTCCTGGGGGTAACCTGCTTCCTTCTTACCAGAGGACGCCAGCTCTGCGGCAGCAAACACCCTGCTGAACGGGCACCCACAGAAGGTAAGGCACTGCGGGCCGTGTGGGGAAACTGAGGCCTGTGGTGCTGCTGGGTTTGGCCTGTGGGATGGCTGAGGAGGGGCTGAGAGAGTCCCAGGCTGGGTTCCAGGACTCCAGTTCCCACTGAAACAGAGCCTGAAGCTGCAGGAGGCGGCACACAGCCATCCCTTGTCTGCCACCTCCTTGTGCTCAGGGGGAGGGCAGGGATGGGACACAGGGTCCTCCTGTCTGACTCATCCCCTGCTGCCCTCCAGGCTGGCGAGTGCAGCGATGCCTTCTCCACCTTTGATGTTCCCATCTTCACAGAGGAGTTCTTGGACCAAAACAAAGGTGTGGGGCTGGGGAAGGGGCTGAGTTTGGGGTGGGGATCACTGAGCCCCTCTGATCCCACTCTGTCCCTGCAGCCCGGGAGGCTGAGCTGCGGCGCCTGCGGAAGATGAACACAGAGTTTGAGGAGCAGAACGCCATCCTGCAGAAGCACACGGAGAGCATGAACTGCGCCAAGGAGAAGCTGGAGCAGGAGCTGGCGCAGGAGGAGAGGCAGACGCTGGCCCTGCAGCAGCAGCTGCAGTCGGTACGGCAGGCGCTCACCACCAGCTTTGCCTCCCTCCCCATCCCTGGTGAGTGTGGGGCAGCATTGGTGCCAGTGGGGACCATAAGGGGGCATCAGTGGGGCAGAGATGGGTGCCCATCTGGTGGGAGGAGGACCCTGGAGCACTCTGGGGAGGGATAGCTTCCCTCTAGTGGGCTAAGATGGGCTGTGAGTTTGTCTCTGGATGCACAGCTCTGCGGGGCAGGTGTTACCCAAATCCTTCTGTCCCTGGGTCTGCCTCGCTGCAGCTCTGCTACTGCAGGAGGTGGAAGCCCACAGTTGTGGTCTCACCCCGGTATGGATGGGGACTTACTGAGCTGCTGCCCCACAGGCACTGGGGAAACCCCAACGCTGAGCACCCTGGATTTCTACATGGCCAAGCTGCACAGTGCCATTGAGAGCAACCCGCTGCAGCACGAGAAGCTGGTGGTCCGCATCAAGGAGATCCTGTCCCGCATAGCCAGGTGGGTCCCCGTGTCCTGGCGTGGTTGCAGGGGGGGGGTTGAGCGTCCCCATGTTGCTGTGGGACAGGAAGACACTTGGCATTGCGTTCCTCTCTCTGCAGTGAACATTTGTGAAAGAGGACCAGTCCCTGCCAGAGCCCGGGGCCGGCTGGACCGCAGCGCTGTCCCTTGGAGCTCCTGCAAGGGACAGGCCCTGCTGGGGGTCTGGCTGCATCCCCTGCACCCCGGGGTGGCCCCAGCCCTGCATTGGTGACATCTGAGGACCTCGAGCTTCTGGGGACCAACATGAGCATCCCCCCGCCCTCCTGTGAGCAGGACAGCAGCCTCACCCAGGGTGTCTCAAGGCTGTGGCTGCTTTATTTAATCTTCCCCCTTCCCCTCACTGCTGCCTGTGGGTGCCTTCAGCCCTGTGCTCCCTGCCTGCCCTCTTCTTCTCTGAGCTATGGGACCAGTGGGGCAGCTCCTTCCCCTTCGTGCTGGGGGGTTGTGGGGCTTGAGCCCTTTCCTCCCTGCCCTCGTGGGACCACCGTGACAGCGGCCGCGTCCTCCCCACACTGTGCCAGCCCTGGGGCTGCCTGTCACTAATCTCAGATTGTGTAATTAGAGAGTGTCTTATTTTCTTACTAGCACTACGTGGGTCCTTCCCTGGGTTTAACCCAGGCAGGGGTCTGACCCTTTTCTCTCGCCTGCAAGGTTGGTGCTCTTTCTGTAGAGAAGTCTCCTGGTTGCCATCTCGTGGCTGCTTGGCTTGGGATGGAGATGGGAGTGAATAAATTTGGGAAAAAAACACCAAAACATTTTGGAGTTTGTGCATTCGTGCTCAGGGTGGGCTCCAAAACAGCTCTGGGTGCTTGTAATCCTCATTTCCCAACCCCATCCTTTATCTTGGTGTCCTCTCACCCTTTATCCTGATGTCCCCCCGTCCTTTATCCTCATGCCTTTGGCTCACCGCCCTCTGCTGCCCCATGACTTTGAGTGTGACGGCCCTGAGCTCCTCGTTCCCACCCCATCCCCACATCCAGGATGCAGCCACGGCTCTCCGTGGCGCCGCTCACCCGATCTCTGGGACTGACCCGTGTATCAGATCGGGTTCCCAGCCCCGCGATCACCTTACGGGCTGCCCATCCATAATTCAGCAGCAGCAGCACGATGCGGCGGGCGGGCAGGCGCAGCAGGCAGGCCCAGGAGGAATGCCCCATGGAGAACGGCGTGGGGCAGGAGCCGGGGGTCCCCGAGCCGCCCCCCACCGAGGGCACCTCGGCCCCACGGCCGCCCCGCGCCCGCCCTCGCCTGGTGTTCCGCACTCAGCTGGCCCACGGCAGCCCCACGGGGCGCATCGAGGGCTTCACCAACGTCAAGGAGCTCTACGGGAAGATCGCCGAGGTGTTCAGCATCTCTCCCACCGAGGTGAGGGGTCGGGGGCCGCCGAGGGTGGCGCCGATCCTCGGGTTGTCCCCAGCGGTGGTGACGGGGCGTTGGGGGGCAGATCCTCTTTTGCACGCTCAACACGCACAAAGTGGACATGCAGAAGCTGCTGGGGGGGCAGATCGGGCTGGAGGATTTCATCTTTGCCCACGTCCGTGGTGAAACGAAGGAGGTGGAGGTGACCAAGACTGAGGATGCGCTGGGGCTCACCATCACCGACAACGGCGCTGGTTACGCCTTCATCAAGGTGAAAACGTGTGGGGCTGAGCTGGGGGTCTGCCCTGACCTGGGGGTAACTATCATAGTATGGTGCATTTTGGGGTGTCCCTGCATAATCCTAGAAGGAAATCGCTGCGTGGAGGGGTGGGGGTGTCACTGTGTGCCCCCTCCCCTCAGCGAATCAAGGAGGGGAGCATCATCAACCGCATCCAGACGGTGTGTGTGGGCGACAGCATCGAGGCCATCAATGACCACACCATCGTGGGCTGCCGGCACTACGAGGTGGCCCGCATGCTGCGCGAGCTGCCCCGCGCTCAGCCCTTCACCCTGCGCCTGGTGCAGCCCAAAAAGGCTTTCGGTGAGTGGGGTGGGGGCTGCTCTGCTTTGAGACCCCCAGGACGGTGGGGGGGGACACCCCCACATGTGCCTGCACAGCCCAAGCTGCCTTGCAACCATCCTTAGTTGGCTGTGTGCTCTGCCCTGGGGCAGCCACAAGCACCCCGTGTACATGTGCATCCCATCCTTCCCCCATGGGTGTCCCCCATGGATTGCCCCATGGTGCCTTCCTTGTGTGTGCCCCATAGCATTTGGGGGAGCCTTGGGTGTTCTTGGTCATCCTTTGGTCTCCAACTTTGTCCATTCTTGGTCATCCTTGAACATCTGTGGTTGGATATTCTTGCTTATTCCTGGATGTCTGCTGTTGGATGTCCATCGTTATCCATCACGGATCATCTTTGGACCCATCACTGTTTGTCATGGGTTGTTCTTGGATGTTCATGTTATTCTCATGGCTCATCCTTGGATGTCCACCCACACCCATTCTTAGTCAACCTTGGGCGCCCATCACTGCGTTGTTTTTGGTCACCCTTGGATGGCCATCATTGGGTGGACATTCATCATTTTTTGACATCCTTGCTCATCCTTGGTGGCCCTGCATGTGGCAGGGGGTTGGAGATTCATGATCCTTGAGGTCCCTTCCAACCCTGGCCATTCTGTGATTCTGTGCTCCTCCATCACTGTTGCCCTTTCTTGGACACCCACCCCTGGGCCCCCTCCCACCCTCCTGTGGGGCTCAGACATGATCGGGCAGAGGACGCGGAGCAGCAGCAAGTGCCCAGCTGAAGGCCGAGTGTCCAGTGGCAAGGAGACACTGCGACTGCGTGCACAGGGCCCGGCCACGCTGCAGGAGGGGGTAAGGCACCCCCACAACCCCCTGCACCAGTCTGGGGGGGATGTGCTCATGGGGTGACCCCATGCTTGGCATCCCATCCCCACCCACAGCCCAGCGCCGTGGAGGAAGAGGCCGCCCGCCGCGTGGACGACCTGCTGGAGAGCTACATGGGCATCCGCGACTGCGAGCTGGGTGGGTGCTGCTCCGTGCCCCCCCCAACCCTACGCCCACCTCCCCCCCTGACCCCGTTCCTCCTGCAGCTGCGACCATGGTGGAGATGGCCAAGTGCAGCCCCACTGCCGCCGCGCTCGCCTGCGCCCTCGACTCAGTGCTGGGAGAGTTTGCCTTCCCCCAGGAGTTCGTGGCTGAGGTGTGGGCGGCCGTTTGCAGCCCCCCGGGTGGGCAGGAGTAGCTGGGGGGCAGCCAGGGGGCAGCCAGGTCCCCCCCCTCCATGTTTCCCAGCTGGGGGTGGCGGTGCTGCTGGAAGTCCCACCTGTCACCCCTTGCACACACAGACTGGAGGTGTGGGGCTGCTGTGGGGGCCCGTGCACCCCACGTCCCATGGGGCACGCAGTGCTGCACAAGCTGTGCTTTATTGGCAGCTCACAGAGCAGGATGGGGAGAGGGGAGAAGGAACACCTCCATGCCTTCCCCATTGGGTGCCCCATCCCCTCCCACTGCGCTCAGCTCCTGCAGCTGCAAGGTGAAAAATAACAACAATAATAATAATAATAAAAAAAAAACAAAACAGAACAAAACCTCCATAATTAACGGAGGAGGGGGTCCCCACTACTGCAGCCGCCCCTCCTGGGTGAGTTTGCGGCGCAGGGAGGGGTTGAGGACGGGGTAGAGGGAGAGCAGGGAGGGCCGCGTGCGCAGCCCCGGGTGCAGGCGCTGCAGCACCGCGCGGCGGAACAGGATGTACACCCAGGGGTCCAGGATCTGATTCCAGGTGACCATACGGATGTAGATGAGCAGCAGCTGCTGTGTCTGTCCTGGCAGCATGTGGAGGGGTTCACCCGTCCGTAGCTGCTGGAGAGTGATCTGGATGATGAAGATCTGGGAGGAGAAAGGAGGGGGGTCGCTTTTTGGGGCTGCCGAGTTCGGGGGAGCCCCGAAGGATTGAGGGGGGAAAGTGGGGGCGCATCTGGACTGGGAGTCTCAGCCACAGGGACACCAGGATCCAGCACATCTCCATGGGGGACAGTGGGGAACATTGAAACTTGGGGCTTCACCTGGAGAGGCACTGGGGGGGCACCCCAGGAGGGACAAGGGGGGCACAGGAAGATGCACCAAGACCACGAGGGACATTTGGGGACACTGAGACCAAGGACCTCACCCAAAGGGACAGGAGGACACACCAAGACCTGTGCCATCACCATGAGGGACGTGGGGGGACGCCGAGACCAAGACAAGGGACATCTGGAGCCCCATCAGGAGGGGCACCCAAGAAGAGGGACAGGAAGGGTCATGGGCACCAGGAGGGGCATAAGGAGGGGCATAAGGAGGACACCAAAAGGGACACAACACCACAAGGGCAATATGGGGACAATAAGACCAAGGGCCTCACCCAAAGGGAAACAGGGACCCACCAAGAACCAGGGCACCCATGAGGGACACTGGGGACACCAAGAGCCAGGGCCTTACCAGAAGGGTCACAAGGCCATGGGGTCCTAATGAGGAGGGACACAAGGGGACACAGTTTCCCAGGGTCACAACACAAGGGACACACAGGGGGACTCCAAAACCTGTGGCCTCACCAGGAGATGTGGGGCACAAGGAGGGATGTGGGGACATCAAAACCACAGAGCCCCACCAGGAGGGACAGCCAGGGACCCATCAGGATGGATGTGGGGAGGACATCAGGACCAGAGGGATGGGAGGGATAGGAGGACAACCAATGCCCCACCAAGAGGGACAGGAGGGACACCCAGGGATCCACCAGGAGGCACACGGGACATCCAGAGCCCCATCAGGATGGACACACGAGGCCCCAGCAGGGGGGATACAAGGGATACCCAGGGATCTACTAGGATGGATGTGGAGAGGACACCAGGACAAGAGGACCCTACTAGGAGGGACATGAGGGACAACCAATGCTCCACCAAGAGGGACAGGAGGGACACCCAGGAGGGACATGGGAGGGACACCACGACCACAGGACCCTACCAGGAGGGGCAAGAGGGACAACCAACGTCCCATCAAGAGGGACACCCAGGGACCCAGCAGAAAGGATACTGGGGCACCAGGGGGGACATGGGGAGGACATCAAGACCATGGGGACCCACCAGGAGGGATATGAGGGACACCCAGGAACCCACCAGGAGGGACGTGGGGAGGGCACCAGAACCACAGGACCCTATGAAGAGGGGCACAAAAGACATCCAGAGCCCCACCCTGAGGGGCACCCAAGAACCCCCCAGGATTGACACCGGGGCACCAGGAGGGACATGGAGAGGACACCAGGAACCACAGGACCCTACCAGGAGGGACGCCCCAAGCCCAAGGCCTCACCAGCAGCGGCATCCAGCAGATGGTGGCGATGACCATGATGCCCACCAGCTGCACCATCATCTCCACTTCGCTGTCACGCCGCCGCTGCACCGACTCACGGTCGTGGTAAACGCGGCACAAGGTGACCACGCTGACCGTGTTGAAGACGAAGGAGAGCAGCACGGAGCAGACGCCCAGCAGGGCGAAGAGAAGGCAGAAGATGACGTTGCCGGCGTCGGGCAGGAGGGTGAGGAAGCACCAGGAGCCAGGGTACTGCAGCGTGTACCGCCCCAAGCCCAGCACCGGCAGCAGCCCCAGAGCGCAGGAGAAGCCCCACACCGTGGCCACGATGGCCCACGCACGGCGCTTGGAGACGGAGGTGGAGCGTGAGAAGGGCCGGTTGATGCCCACAAACCTCTCGCCAGCCATGGTGGCGCCCAGGAGCAGCGGGCACTGCCCGAAGAACACCATGGAGAAGCCCAGGAAGTTGCAGAGGTGGCAGCCGGGGTCCACCTGCGCCCAGTTGAACTTGGTGAAGTGGTACGGGATGATGACGGCGGCGGTCACCAGCAGCCCCATGAAGTCTGTCACCACCAACCCGCAGAGGAAGACGAGGAAGGAGGAGCGCGAGCGGCTGCTGAGCTGACGGGAGGAGCTGAGCAGCACATAGAGAGCAAAGAGGTTGGAGCAGAGCCCGATGAGGCCGAAGGCGGTGGAGAACCACGGCGAGGTGATGGCTTTGGGCTGCGTCACGTTGAGGCTGAGGTTCACCGCCCCGAAGCAGGTGTGGGGTTGGCTGTCCAGGCTCACGTTGGGGGGCTCCGTGTCCTCCCACCCCATCCTGGCGGCCTCAGGCGCCCTCCAAACCGGGCTCCATGCCGTGTTCCTGGTGCTGCTGCTGATCCCACCAGGCTCTGTGGGGATAAGGGGAGCGTTAGGGACCAGAACTCTCACTCTGATCCTAATCGTGAAACCCTACGCTAACGCTGGCCCTAACTTAACACAGATCCTGACCCGAACGCGGCTCACCCACCCAGACCCCGCAGATGCGGGGTGTCCCATGGGGTGCTGAGGCCTCAGCCCTACAGCTGGCCGGGATTAACCGTCCCCTCTGCGTCACCGGGCCGAGAGCCACCAGGGCAGCAGCCACCAACCCCCACGTGCTCACTGCCTGGAGCAGCGCGTGCTGCCAGCTGGGCTCCATCCCGTGCCGGGGGAAGGGGGGGGCTCATCCAAACCCCCATCCCTATGGCGCAGTGAGGACGCGGTCCCAGCTCCGTGTGCCAAACTGGGAGGAGGGACGCGGCTGGATCCCAGGATTAGCTTAAAAGCATCTCCCCCCATCCCTGTGGCTGTGGCTGCCGCCCACGTGGCGATGACCGCAGGCGGACGTTCGCGCCCGGAGCTGCGCGGCGCACGCGGCACCACGGCATCACTGTGTGCCCCCCAGCTCAGCAATTCCAGCCCCATCTCCATGCGGCCGGGTCTCACGTTTCCCATCCTTAGCTGGAGCTGAGGGTTTGTCACTGGGCCACAAAGGTTTTGGCCCAGTGGGTTTGTGAGGGTTTGTAAGGACAGCTGGTTTTGTCACGAGCCGTTTGTCATTGCTAATTACTGCAGAGGGGGCGGCCTGGGGTGGAACGGAGCTGCTTCCATCCCCATCCCGGGGGTGCTGTGCACCACAAAAAATGGGCACCCCCAGGAGTGGGCACACAGGCAGCAGATGCCTCCCCCATTTCTCCAGGGCAGGGATGAGTGCCACCCACTCCCCCTGTCCCCAGGCTGCTGGATGACACTTCCCCTGCCCCACCACCTCTCAGGACCACAACATTAAGGAGGACCCGCAGCAGCCATCACTGCAACCGTCCCCAAACTGCCTGCGGTGCCCTATGGCTGTGGGGTCCCATCACTGCCTGGATGGAGCTGTGTCCCCATGCCACGCTGCGCCCCAGGGGACCCTCAGCCATGGGATGCCCCCAGCAGCTGAGCAGCCCTATAGGGCACCCATGTGCCCCATTAGAAGGGCCCACTCCCCATTGGGGTGTGCTGGTCACCCAATTCCCTACACCTCATCCTGCAGCCAGGGACAGCCGTGCACTCCTGGTGACACCGAGAGGACATGGGGATGGACAGCCCCACAGGCTGTCAGGGCTGCACTTAGAGGGCATAAAATATTAACGAGAGCTCAATTAGCACCAGCAGGGCTGTAAGTGAGACAGAGAGAGCTGCACAGCAGCATGGAGACACTTACAGGCAGGAATTCATGCGTGGGGGCAGAGGGTCCTCAATCTACGGTGTGGGGGCAGATCCTGTGGGGAACAGACCCTGAGGTTGTGCCTCAGCCCCACTGGGGGGCACAGGAGCTGGTGGGAACCCCTGGGGGGGTGCAGATTCTGCTCCTAAATTGCAGCCCTGAAATGCGCTGGCAGTTCTGGTGTGGGCTGGAATGAGCATTAATGGGGTTTTTGGCATTGGGATGGTGTTTTTCTGGGGATGTGCTGCACAGAGCGCAGAGCTGTGGGTCCCCGCTTTGGGTCCCTCATATCCCAGCTCTCCTCTTTGCTTTGAGATGCACCCTGTGGTGTCCCCCACCCGATGACACAACGAACACAGATGGGTGCACCATCCCCACAGCCCTCGGTGCAGATCTGTTCAAGGCCATCGGCCGGGACGGGAAATGCACCGCCCACGTCACGCAGGGCTGGCAGAGCTCCAGCATCCCTCCCCAGACCCACAGCCATCAAAACCATGGAGCCCAGAGAGGGGACTTCCAGGGGACATCCGGGCAGGAGACATCCATGCTGTGCGGCACCGCCGGCGGTGACACAAAGCACCTGTCCCTGTTGTGACCCATGGCACGAGGCCCCATCCCATCCCATTCCCATCCCATCTCAAACTCATCCTCATCCCCATTCCATCCCCATCCCATCTCCATTTCAGTCCCATCTCAGCCCATCCCTTTCCCCTTCCCAATCCCGTTCCCATTTCCATCCCACTTCCCATTTCCATTCCCGTTCCCACCCCCACCCCCATCCCACCCGCCCCGCTCCACACAACCCCTCTGCCCGTCGTGGACGCTCCATCCATCTCTCCGTCGTTCCCAGCGCCGCGGTGCGTCCATCCCCCCCCCCTCCCATCCCGACCCCTCCACCCGACCGTCCCACCCGACCGTCCATCCCACCCCCGCGGGTTCTCTGTCCGTCCCACCCTCTCTGTGCCCCCCCGAACCCCTCCGGACCCCCCAGCCGCTCCCCCCCTCCTCCCCCCCCGCCGTACCTCTCAGCCGTCGCGGTGCGGGGGGGTCCGGCTGAGAGCGGAGCTCCGCTCGGCGCGGATCGGCGCAGCGCTGCCCCGCGGGAGGCGCCGGCGAAGGGCCGGGCTGGGAGCGGCCCCAACTCCCCCCCCTGTCCCGACCCCTTTCCCCGCCCCGCGCGGAGCCCCCCGCGCCCCCCGCCGCCCCGCAGCGCCGCTCCGGGATGGGGCCGAGCCGGGACACGGGGCTGCGCTGCGGCACGGAGACACGCGTGGGGCGGGACTCGAGTGGACGCGGCTCACCTGCGCCCGCTCCAGCCGCGCAGTGGGGCGGCGATGGGGAGCGCGGTGCCCGCCGTACCCGGCTATATTTAGCGGGGCCGCTCTTATCCGGGTTACTCACTTGTTTACCCGAGCCGGATTCCTGCGTCTGGAGGGGGGTTGGCCCTCACCCCTCGGCTGCACCACCCCGAGGGCCCCCACGGCCCCGCACCCCTCCGTGGGCACCGCGGGGCTCCGCACTGGGGCGCGGCAGCAGAGCCGGGCGCAGCACGCGGGGTCACCGCGCGTCCCCAAAGCCGCTGCTGTGTGTGGCACGCGGGGACGCGACCACCCTCACCACCACCCCCACCGCCACCCCTCCGTGCCCCCGTTGGCACCCAGCCGACTCCCAGCGCTGGGACCCCTCCCCGGAGGACACGAGGACGTCCCTTACGCCCACCGCGGTGCCACCACCCCGAGCCCACGCTTTGGGGCGGCAGCGGATGGAACCGAAGCGCGACTCCCCCCGCAGCCCCTCCAGGTGCAGACGATGTGGGTGCGGGGGGGGCTGAGGTGGGGGCTGCAGCGTGATGCTCCAACACCGCCCCGCAGGGACGCGTGGCACCGTCCCCACACGGAATGGGACAGCGGGCAGCATCGGCCCCGCATGGGGTGAGCGCAGGGAGTTCCGTGCGCTGTGAAGCACAGAGGGTTGTGCTGTTTTATTGGTGTTTTTTTTTTTCTTTTTCTTTTTTCTTTTTCCCCTGTTTCTCCCATCTCGTCTCTGCCGCGGCCTCCACTCGCTTCCTGCGCCGGCCTCAGCATCTCCCCCCCCCCGCATCTCCCCCCCCCCACGCCGGCGGCAGTTGCTCCACGGCTTTAAATAGCGCGCAGGAAGGAGCGGCCGGGGGACACGGCTGGAGATGTCCGGAGGGATGGGAAATGTGTGGGGCGGGCAGGGTGGCCGCGCCCCCGCCCCGGTGCCCCCACCGGGCACCTGGCCGTGGGAGGCTCCTGAGCTCCGCTTCTCCCCAGGCCGGATGCTGCCAGCGAGCAGCCGAGCAGCAGGACGGGCTGAGCTACAGGGCGGCCCCACGGCTGAGAAGCCCCGGAGGGAGGAGAGCGGTGTGGGGGCAGCGGGGAGACAGGATGCCGAGAGCTCCGGGGGGAGGAAGCTGAAGCAGCGTCTCGGAGCAGCAGTTCACGGCCGAGGTTTCCTGCCGCTGCTCGTTCAGCCGGCATCTCCTCCCCCATCCTTCAGCACAGGACGGTGCAAGGCCAGGCCGTGCCCCCCCGCTCTGCAGCCCTCCCCCCGTACCAGCATCTGGCGGGCGCCGAGGAGCGCGGCCAGCCCAGAGCCGGGCAGCCCAGTGCCGGGGGGAGGGACCGAGGGCCACAGAAAGCGGATTTTGCCCTGTAAGGAGATGTCGCGGTCACATCTCACACCCCTCTCCTTCTCCTCCCCCCCCCGAGGCTGACGCCCCAGCAGACGAAGGGCTGTGACCGAGGAGCAAAGGGTGCAGCAGCCGCTGGGAACGGTGTGGAAGGAGAGATCTGAGCCCGGGAGGAGGCGATGGGCGCCCGCAGGGCTGTCAGCACGGAGGGGTGGGACGAAGCAGCCCCCAGTGCTGCTCGGTGCAACGCCAGCTGGGGGGGGGGGACACACACGCAGGACACCATGGCGTAAAACAGCCCCTATTTATTTGTGCCAAAGTCTCAGAGTCCCTCGGGATAAAATGCAAAGGAGGAAAGGAGAACAGTCAACGTGAGGCTGCAGGGGGCTGAGCAGGGGATGGGATGAGCCCCCCCTCACCTGCGGTAGCGGTACCGCTTGAAGTGGAACCACAGCTGGAAGATCCCATTGGCAAACTGGCAGCGGAAGCCGTGGCGGTGGGAATATTCCCATTCCCTGTTGACAATCTTAAAGGCAATGTCCTCATAGGGAGGCCCGGCGTGGAAGCGCAGGATGGCGAAGTCCTTGTTGTCCTGGCAGGCCTCCAGGAAATACTCCGGCGTTGAGCGTTTGTCGATGAGGTCGGGGTAGAAGATGTTGAATTTGTAGCCCTGCACGATTTTGGGAGGGGGGTTGTCAAAGTCGTAGTGGGTTTGGTTGTATTTGTTCCACTCGAAGCCCGTGTGCACGCGGTTGAAGAAGCGCGGTTTGCGGGGCCGGTATTTGTCTGCCCAGAGGTAAGCCTTGCCCGTCAGAGGCATCTCCACGCTGAACTGAGCCTCGTCTGCTCCCATGCCTTCCTTGGCTTTGCGGAAGAAAATGTCGTCGGCGCTCTCGGTGGCGTTGCCTGCAAGGAGGAGAGGTGAGGGACGGCCCTGCAGTGTCAGCCTGGCGCGTGGGATGCGGAGGGAAGGGAGCGGGTGGGGGAAGCAGAGCTGGACACCGAGATGTGAGTGCTGGATGCCGGGTTGGGAAACGCATCCAAAATATCCTGCCCACTTGTTTGCAGCTCAAGCTGCTCAATGACGCAGCTGGGAGTGGGAAGGACCTGACCCAGCTGTCCACGGGGACAGCAGCAGTCTGAGCTGTGTCCCATTCACTGCCCCGCACACCTCTCAGCCATCACTGCCTGCTCCAGCCCTGCCTCCTGCTCACAGAGGGCAGCTCTCCCTCCAAGCCCTGCATCCCAGTGCTTGCACGTCCCCCTGAGCCCAGCAGGGTTCTCCTACCTGTGACCTGGAGCTGCTGGCGCAGCAGCAGCAGCCGATGTGTGTCCTCCTCCGCCTCCAGCACGTGGGCATCGAAGGGCAGCTCGTTGGTGCCCAGCAGCCGGGGGCTGTACTTCCCTGCATCGTAGTCATCCAGGCTCTGCTGGATCAGGTCCTCCTCCATCAGCACAGCTTCCCCCTCTGCCTCTTCTTTGACCTCCACGTCCTGCTCAGCCTCTGGCTCTGAGGACGGCCCCGGCTGCACCACGATGCTCTCTTCTGCATCCAGCCTGCAGGGAAGAGAGAAAAGAACTGGGATGGAGGTGACAGCTGTGCTTCCTGAGGTCTGCCTGGGGACAGATGGGAGCGTGCCCACAGGGGACGCCTACACGGTCCTGCTCCCCACAGGCTGCATACCTGTCACTGGGAGACACTGGCTCCCTCTTGATGATGGGGAAGAGCGGTTCGCTCTCCACGCCCTGCTCCTGCTTCAACTTGTACAGCTTCTGGCGCAGCACGTCCTGGTGCCGCTCCCGCAGCCTGTGAGGGGAGAGCAGTCAGCTCACAGCCAGCACAGCCACAGCTGGGATACCCACTGCTGTCCCCTTTCACACCCCCAGCCAGGGGACGGCCCCGCTCTCACCTGGCCCGAGCCATGTAGGCCTTCAGCTGCTGCAGCAGGCTCTCCCAGTACCCGATGTCGAGGTTGGGCCCCCCCGCCCGGATCTTGCTCTCGATGCCCTGGTACAGCACTTGCAGCTGGTTGTAGGTCTTCCCCTTGAACACGGACTGCACGTCCGAGCTGACAGAGGCATTGACGCCGTCCCGCCGCTCCCCTGAACAATTGGGAAAGAGCTACCAGAATCACAGAATCATAGAATTACCAGGGTTGGAAGGGACCTCAAGGATCATGAATCTCCAACCCCCTGCCACATGCAGGGCCACCAACCATCCCACCTAATGCTAGACCAGGCTGCCCAGGGCCCCATCCAATCTGGCCTTGAACACCTCCAGGGATGGGGCATCCACAACCTCTCTGGGCAGCTGTTCCAGTACCTCACCACTCTCTCTGTAAAGAACTTCCCCCTGACATCCAAAACTCCTGGGCTGCACCAAACAGCTGCTGCATCCACAGCCTCCATCCATCCCAGGAGCAACGTGTAAACCCCTGCAAACCTGCAGGCCTGCAACAGGGCCTGTGCCATGTTTTACCTGTTATACACACACTCTTCAACACCCACTCATGCTTACCTGGTCCTCCTTTCCCAGAGGCCTCCAGTTTGCGGAGCTTTGCTATCTCATCCTCGGTGATGATGGTCATGTCCCTCCAGAAATCCACATTCTTGCCTTGCTCCAGCTCCATGTAAACCTGCAGGCAGAGGACAGCCAGGACTTCAGCCACCCGCTGATGCTTAAAGCTCAAGGAGGGAAGCCCTGAGTTGCCACCCTGCAGACAGCCCTGGTACCTGGATGTCTTCTACCAGATCCTCCATGTCGGAGACAGTCAGACCGTTCAGAAACGTGTAGGGCTCGTGCATCTCCACAGCCAGGTCATCATCCTCCGCACTGATGTATTTAGCCAGAAGGTCAATGGGTTTTGCCCTCCCATCCCGAATCCGGATCTTAGACCTGGGTGAGAACAGAGAGGCTGTGAGCAGTACCTGCCACCCCCTGCTCCCCACCAGCCTGTCCCCACAGAACTGCCCACCCACCGCAGCTTGGCCTGCTGCAGGTGGAAGTTGTCCTCCTGCTCCTCCCAGGTTTTGAAGTGTTCTGCCTCTTTCTCCC